GGAGAATGCAGGAGAAGGTCAGTAGGACAACTTCTGTACATGCGCAAAGCACGCATTTCCACGCACGTGCGCAAAGCACACCCACCAAACTGGTGGTAAACCAATTTGAATCCCACCACTGGCATGAAGCATCATATCATGGAAATTCCATCCATCTTGGGAGGCCCCATTTGGCTCCTACTTCAGCGGAAGCCCAAACAAAAATGTGCAGTGTTTTCCTTGGAGGTGCAAGATGGTGTTGCTTACCATAGAATACCTTGGCTTCTTCTCATGCCTGCGCTGAACCAATGAATGCAAATAACATCTGTCTTCTGTTTTGGGAAGCCTCCACCCACCCACCCACCCACCCCGCATAGCTTGCTGAAAGGAGCATAAACCAACATGGGATACTGCTCAGCAATTTAGGCAGAACTGGGTATTAAGCAGAAGGACTTTGCGAACTCTGCGAAGTAGTTCAGACAAGAAACACAACCAGGAATATTAGCTCAATCAGGTTACATTAATAGAATCATGTAACACTGAAAGTATTTCTTCCATCTGTCAGCATTCCAACTAGCCAACTCCAAACCAATAAACTCCGAGACAAACATTTCCTCAAAGTTCCATTTTATTAGAGTTGTCATATTGGCACATCTGGGAAAACCCGAATCTGAGAGTTCCAGGCTTTCCCTTCCCCCACAAAAATCAAAGATCCATCCCCTGCATCCCTCAGTCCATCACATGGCCCAATCAAATCTTCTTCCCAACTGGAAACACTCCTCTCCAGGTGTAGGGCAACCTGTCCTTGACTCTCTGAGAAAGAATGTTGTTGTGTCTAATCTTTTACCTCACTATGAAATCCCCACTCCCAAATTCCCAGGCAGTGACAGTCTTGAAGCTTCCCAAAAAAGGATGGCTTCCAAGGCTGACACCATCCTTTTCTTTGACTCTCTGGAAAACTATGAAATGTCCTTTCTGAAATGAAATAACGGTTCTCCTGTCTGTGGCTTTCCCTCCTGTCTCCCAAGGCCATTCTCACATACCTTTACAGATTTCAACTCAATGAACCTCTTGCCAAAACACAATTTGGCATAGGAAAATTGTTGCCCTTAAGCTGTTTCCTCACTGTCCCCCTTGTCTATGAAATCATGATGCTATGTAAAGAACAGATGTATTCTAATTAAGTGTATTTTATCAGAATGCATTTTGGGGGTAAAAACATGAGTGAATATGTATGAGCGAAAAAGCCTTTTGTTGGGTATAATTTAACGTGTAAGCGGAAAATGCAAAATGGCACAAATCAAAAGCAAACATAGGCAGATGCTTTATGCATAATTAGCCCAGGAAAAAATGAATCATTTGAAAGGCTTAGGAAGAACACAGCAGCCTAATGAGAAAATAGGTGCTGTACTGAAATAGCACCCTTTTCAATAAATGGAATATCAAGAAGGATTTATTTTTCCTATTGTAGAGCCTATGTATGTATACCAGTAAATGGAAGAAGATATACAGATCAGATAAATTGAAATCAATTTTTTTCCTGTTTGCTATGCAAGATGCCTAAAGGTCACACGGTTCATAGAAACTTGGCATCTCTCTTGGATACAGATAGTTCCTCATTTAGCAACTATATTTGAGACCAGCAATACGGTTGCTTACTAAGTCAGAGGTGGTATTCAGCAGTTTCTGACCAGTTGTGGAGAACCGGTAGCGGAAATTTGAGTAGTTCAGAGAACTGGCAAATACCATCTCTGACTGTCCCCGCCCCCATCTGTTCTCTGCCTCCCGAGACCCAGCTGATTGGCTGAGTCTTCTTTTGTTGCCCTGCACAGGAGAACAGAGCTGGAAAGCAGGTTAGTGGGGTGGGGAGGGATTGGAGATTTTACAATATCCTTATCCTGCCATTCCCACCAAGCCATGCCACTCCCACCAAGCCACACCCACAGAACCAGTAGTAAAAAAAATTGAATCTCACCACTGTACTAAGTGATTACTAAGTGAACTGTGCTTGTAATCTTACTTCAACCTATCTTTACTTTACAGATCTGCAAAGGTCATAAATTCAGGCATTGGTCACATCACCGTCATAATTGGGAATGGGCATATTCCAAAGCAGTTGTTAAATGGGGATTACTTGTATCTCTTCCTTTTTTCTTCTTCCTCTTCCTGTGGATGTGATCTTACTTGGCCACCAAGGGGTTGTCAGTTTACAGAGCAGGAACATCCTCTAAGGAACTTTTAGGACATAAGTAGGAATGATGGAGAAATTACTTGGCTTTATACTTATTAAAGAGCTGCTTAATTTGCATTTCCTACATCAATAGATGAACCAGAATCATTGTCTTTAAGGTCCTGAATTTTATGAAGCAGTTCTCCATTAAAAAATATTAAAAAAAAGTAATGCAAAGGATGCATGATGAAAATCTTTATAAAGTTTTACAGGAGAAGGGGTTTAGTTACAAACTGGTGTAGAAATGGTTAAAAATTTAAGTTGAGATCAGAAACGAGAACTCAGAATGGATAAATTCTTCAGAATAAGTTACTTTGTGCTTGTAGATGGACAAGCGGTATATATAACTTATTGAGAACTAATCCATAGCCGATAGATACACCCTGGACACAGTGGGATTCAAAACTTTTTACTGCCAGTTCTGTGGCTTGGTGGGTGTGGCAGGGGAAGGATATTGTAAAATCTCCATTTCTCCCCACTCCTGGGGGAAGGTTACTAAAAATCCACATTCCCTCCCCATCCCACTAACCTGCTTTCCAGCTCCATTCGCCTCTGTAGGGCAACAAAAAAAAGACCCAGCCAATCAGCTGGGACTCAGGAGGCAGAGAATAGATGGGGGTGGGACCAGTCAGAGATGGTATTTGCCAGTTCTCTGAACTATTCAAAATTTCCGCTACCGGTTCTCCAGAACTGGTTAGAATCTGCTGAATACCACCTCTGGCTGAACAGTTTTGGACCCTATTTTTTAATTAATTGGTTTATTTATATCCTACCTTTGCTATTTTTTATAAATAACTCCAGACGGTGAACTCCTAATACTCCTTCTCCTTTCCTATTTTCCCCACAACAACCTTGTGAGGTGGATTGGACTGAGAGAAAATAACAGGCCCCAAATTACCCAGCCATCTTTCATGCCTAAAGTGGAATTAGAACTCACAATCTTCTAGTAATTGGCCCAAAAATACCCAGCTGATTTTCATGTCTAAGACAAGACTAGAATTTACAGCCCTCTGGTTTCTAGCCTAGTGCCTTAACCATTAGACCCAACTGGCTCTCTATTATCATCTTTCTATCTTTCTATTATCTAGTCCAAAAATTGTCATGATGAACTGGGAATAAAGGAGGTTTTATTTTTTTTTCAGTTTGAAGGCCTCACTTTGCACTTGTGTTTAAAAAGCCACACTTGCAAAGATAGTCAGTGGAGCCAGGACAGCTGCTAAATTGATTCTACTTCCCATAAATTTTAATTTAGTTCAAACTTTGCCCAGCTAATAACATTATTATCCATTTCCCCTTCAGTCACATGGAACATTATCATTTGAAAATGGCTTTTAAAAATTTGACCTTGCACTATCACTTCTGGATTGTTGGTTTACATGCTGGTTCCAAACATTTCTGCTTTTGAGAAAACAACTTGGAAAATGGAGCAAAAAACCCTTTTTAAGTTCTGAAAGATTATAGGCATCCATGTTGAGTTTGTGCCCTATTTTACGGCCTTTTGTGAAGAGAATTGCTCTAATACCTAAGTTAGTAACCTAGATAAGAGAATCTGGCTTCCCTATTGACTTTGCTTGTCAGAAGGTTGAAAAACGTAATCACATGACTCTGGACACTGCAGCAGTCATAAAAACCTGCCAGTTGCCAAGCATCCAATTTTTTAAAAAAAATTTATTGGTTTTTAAAACAAACATAAACAAACAAAACATAAAAACATCAAATCATCTTCCATATATGTACATACAGTGTGCCGGTTGGTTTACAAATTGTTTTGTGCTTCCATTTCATAGTCTTCAATTATAATTACATTGTATATAATCTTGTATTTTCAATCAATATATTAAATACATTAATATCATTATTAATCAATCATTTGACTATACTTTTATTCATTCATGTTTTCCAAAATGATCATATTTTACTTAATTTGTTTTATGACAATTCGTATTATCATCCCAGATTTATCCTAGAATAATTTTGTAGATATAATAAGAAAAGAATACATCTTTATATATTTATTATTTTCTAAAAGTCTACTTATTTCATTACTATATTTTATTGTCTAACCATTGATAGAATAGATCCCAAATTTTATAAAATTGTGTTCTCTAATTTCAAATGTCAATCTACTCATTTCAGCACATTCCAATATTTTCTTATTGATTTCCTCCTGTGATGGTATTTTCTCATTTTTCCAGTTTTTAGCAAATACAATCCTAGCCGCTGTTAATACATTTACAATCAGGTATTTCAAGTCTTTACTATATATATTTCAGGTAAAATTCCCAATAAAAATATTTCTGGTTTCAAATCTATATGCTTTTTTGTCATTTTTTCCAACCACGTGTGGATTTTAGTCCAGTATTTTTTAGCATCCGCACAATTTTGATCACAGGATCAAAATTGCGGCAACAATCCTCAGTGTGAAAAACTCACAATGTATGTCACTGTTTTGGTACAGCTATAACTTCCAACAGTCACTAAACGAATGGTTGTAAGTCAAGAACCATCATAAATGCAAGAACTGTGGGCTTCTCTGGTCAGAGTTGGGACGGAGACACAGCTTTAACAGCCCCTATAACTCAATTTCCAATTATTGCTATCGCGGCTGGTATGGCCTGACAATGTGGATTGCGTGCCACAGATGAGAGCCAAATGCATTGTAGACTAAATGTATAAAATCTAAATGGATTGGGCTCGAAAGGGATTGTCTGAAAAGGCCCCTCACTGTGTCTTAATGTTCCCAGGTTGTCGTGTTTTCAGGTGCCTTATTCGTTTCTGTGTTGTATTACAGATCCCTTCTACAATCAGGTCTATCCATCAGGATAAAATCCTAGCACTTAGACAGCAGACACAGTTCTTGTGGGAGGCTTATTTTTCTTCAGTTGAGAAGATTGTATTGACCACACTAGAGGTGAGTAACCATTTTCAGATAATAGCTGGAGCTGAAGCCTGGCTTTTCTCCGTATTTGGATTGTGTCTGGTCTTGACTTTTGCAGGTACTTAGTGAGGAAAGCGCCTCTGCAAAGAATCGGATGAAGGAGAGACTTTTTCAACTTCCTTATAACTTTTCTTCCCTGAGGAACCTAGGGTCTTTGTCTCTGGGATTGGTGTAAGAAGAAATGTCAGGCTGACAAATTGGCAACCATCTTAACTTGCTAGGAAATGTGGTCTCATAGACTGGAGGCTTCTAGGGATTTTTGATAGCTGATAAATCAACTTGCTTGTCATTGATGGTAAATGGGTTCTTTAAGACCCTTCCCTGGGAAAAAAAAAATCATGTTTTGAAAAAAAGTGATACTATAAAACTTTTTCCTCTGTTCAGGCAGGCTTTCTGCTCCAAGATGTTTTCAAAGCCTTTGATGGATGTCTGAAGGAAGGTGGAAAAAATTTTGGGCTTAAGGCAGTAGCTATTTCAGATTAAGGAGGCAAATGTCAGAAACTTGACTGAGAATTAAAATGAGTTAGCCACATTTTTAAATGCCTTTATGTGGAGCCTTAGCTCGATTTTGCAGATCCTGACCTCCATTCTCTTTTTTTCCCCGCAGTTTCTTCATGGTAATGCTAAACCGTGGTTCAGCCTTGCATACATAAGCACAGACTCCAGCCTTCTCTAAGTCCTGGAGTAAAGAAAGGAAAATAGAAGATTCCCATATTAGTTTGATATTTGAGCCTAGCAAAGCAATTCAACTCTTTGCAATCAGGGATTACAGGCAAATGAGATTTTGACAACACTGAAGAATGCTTTCCTACAAATCTGCATGTAGCATATGCAAATAAAACTGAATGTCTTGAATTCAGTTTCTGAACAAATCGCCCTCTCTGTTGATTCATCCATATTTGGAGTCAGCTACGTTACTTTTTTCTCTTCCTATAGCAAATCCCTCTCTTCTGGTTTTTTTCCGTTTTAATCACCGCCATAATGAATTCTCTCATTAAGTAAAAATATTCTTCAAACTATGATTTTATTCAGATTAGAACAAGTCCAATAGAAGCAGTGGCTTTAAGTGAGTCTTGATTCTGGCCCCCAATTATATTACATTTATACTTACAACACACTATGATGATATCATTGTTGTTCAGTCACTAAGTCATGTCTGATTCTTTGCAACATCATGGACCACAGCATGCTCTGCTCCCCTGTCCTCCCTTATCTCCCAGAGTTTTCGCAAATTGATGCTTGCTGTACTAGATGATATATCTAAGCACTATTTAACCACTTAGCTAACTCCTAACCATGGGAGCCCTAGTCATACTGTGGTTAATTGCAGTATTGCAGGCAAACTCTGCCCACAGCCTGAAGTTCGATCCTGATAGGACTCAAGGTTGACTCAGCCTTCAATCCTTTTGAAGAAATCAGCAAAATGAAGATCCAAATTGTTGGGAGCAGAATGCAAATAATGCTGAGATTGTAAACCTCCCAGATAATGCTATAAAACACTATGGGGTGGTAACATAAATCTAAATGCTATTGCTGTTGCTATCTCATCCTCTGCCATCCCCTTCTCCTTTAGCCTTCAATCTTTCCCAACCATCAGGGTCTTTTCCAAGGAGTCCTCTCTTCTCATTAGATCGTGAAAGTATTTGAGCTTCAGCCCTTCCAAAGAACAGTCAGGGATGGTTGCTTTAGCGATTGACTGCTCTGATGATCTCCTTACAGGCCAAGGGATTCTCCAGCACCGCAATTCAAAAGTTTCGTTTTGGCACTCAGCCTTCCTTATGGTCCACCCTCACAGCCATACATTATTACTGGGATGATGGCATCACTATGCAGATATAATTCTAAGCCATGTTTAATGTTGACAGAACTCACTGGGGCAACTGAGAAGTTAGTTTTCAAGATTAAAAAGTAAATTCTCCAGGATCCAAAGTCAACTCAAGCCTTGGTAATTGTCAGTTCGCCCATGCAGATTATTTTCTTTTCACCAAAAATAAAGAAATGGTTTTGCCACTGCTTCTTCTGAACAGTCCAGTTTGCAGATTCCTTTGTGATTCCCAACTTGTGATTCAGCAAAGTTAATCTTGCTTAGCTTCCAAAGCTAGACAGGGTCAACTAAAAATTGCCATTTGCTCAGGAATATTGTAAGGAGTTGCTGTATCTGCTAATTTGTGTGCTGCTATACACACTGTTCTGCAGAACAAAATGAGTTGCATTTGAAATGTTCTAATATTTGTTTCAGCAATAGATAAGACTTATTTTCATATATGCTAGGAAGGAACTACATATTTGCTGTAGTTTCTTCATTGTCCATGAAAATTGTAGTAGAAGCTACCAGTTTGTTCATATAAAATGGTTTTATTAAAGCAGTACTTCCGAACTTTTATTCATTTTAAGAGATGTGGACTTCAACTCCCAGAATACCCCAACTAGCATTTCTGGCTTGGGTATTCTGGGAGTAGAAGTTCAGACATCTTAAAATGAATAAAAGTTGGGAAACATTGTTTTAAAGCAATCTACGAAGGATTTCATCTTTCACTACTTGGTCAGTCTTCCACAGTAGGAATTTTTAAAGATCTTTGGTCAGCCATAGGGATGTTCTTTTTTTTTCTGTACCTGTTTCCTCACAATTTGAATTGATTTTACTGAGACTCACAGGATGGGACAAAGATAGAACTGAATATGATATGAAGGTATTTATCCAATTCGTATTTCCACAAAAGGAAAATGAAATGAATGAAATGAAATGCAATCTTCCCCAGCTTTATGTTTTCTTCACTTCGTGAAATTAAAACCTATATAAAAGCAGTTTTAATTCTGAAAGAAGAGAGATAATTTGCATATTCAGTGCATATTGACTTAATTCAACAGAAATATCCTCATCCCCCATTAAAAAGGGATTCATGACCCAGGAGTGTGGGAGGCGAGGAAAAGAATTGATATCAAGATAGAAATGCACCCTTTGGAACACATTTTAATTTAGAGTCCTTTTATGGGGGAAAAATCGTTATCTCATTCAGCCCAGTTTCCTGATTGAAAATTCCTTCTTCAATCCATGTAGGATACGTGTTTACTTAATTAGCAAGTTTACAAAATAAGCTTTTGAATCTCCAGGAAGAGTGGAGGCACGCCAAATTGACCACAAATATGTTTGACACAAATTCATTTTTAGGCCGAACTTTCAGCAGTGATTAAAAAGGGGAAAAAAAAAACAAGAGCGCAAATTGCAAATGGCATTTAGCGATGGGCGTGTAGCTATTTTTCCTGTGCAATTTTTATGGCTAGCGAAAGAACTTTAAATTGCCTCTATTTTTGTCCTTTCCTGTATCCTTTCCTACAAAGCATCTCCAGCCTTTTGCACGGTTAAATGTTGTTTTCAGAACTAGAATAGTTATCTGTTAAATTTGGTACAGCTTTTAAGGTGGTCCCTGATGCATCAAATAACAGGATCAGTAAGATTTTGTCAGCCTGACCTGTAACTGAAAATACCTATCAGCAGTGGCATTTGAGAGCTGGTTTCAAAGTTAAACTAAATCGTAGGGAACCATATAAGAGGGTGTTCTGTTTTAACAGGAAAGTTGTCCTCGATATGATGATCTAATTTTATTGGAGAAATCTTTTCTCTGCGGTATCAGAGGCTAGCTGTATGTGGCACTTTCACAGAGGTAATTATTTATCACTGAACAAGTGACAAATGAAATATTAGGTAGTGAACTATGTTAACCCACCTTATATTATGTCAGACTGTGGACATATTGAATACAGTATTTGTTATACTAGCTAGTATCAGCTTTTTAGTAACAGACTAGGACATTTCTGGATTTCATTGGAAAGAGTATAGATTAAATTTAGGGCATTTTACTATTGAAACACATAGTTTGTCATAAGTTAAAGCAATACGCTGCAGATAGGCCCCAAAGTGACTACACATAAACCAAGCTTTGCAATCCACGAGATTTATTTTTCTTCCTCTTAGATTATTTACTATTACAAAAGATTTAAATTGGGAGCTGGCATGCTGCAGAGCAAAGCACCAGCTTGTACTACACTCTTTATTTATAAGAATATCTCTGGATACTGCATAGTCCCCATGGGTATGTTTAAAAAATAATTAGCTAGCAGCAGCCTGTGATGTTTTGGTAATGTAATCAACTGTTTAGAAAAAAAAATTAAAGCTCTGAGTCAGATGGCAGAGACTAATCGTACAAACCTGTGATTGGGTGTGTGTCCATAATAACAACCATTTTTTAATGAGCGGCCTAAGCCTAGTGACCACCGTGTTTTGGGTTTTTTTGAAGATTTTTAAAAACAAACATAAACAAACAAAATGTAAAACATAAAAACATAAAACATCTTTTTTGAAAGCAGCTTGATCCCAGGTTACATCTCTTCGTACAGACACAAATTCAAATTCATGTTCATTTTATATACCATTCCATATCTTATTACATTCTACGTTTTCTATATAGCTTGTCCCCTCTTTTAACTTTCTTAATTTTATTTTATTTATTTCATCTCAATTCAGATCATTATACTTATATTCTTTGTCTGTCCTGTTTCCAGCTGTCCATTATCTTTTCTCATTAGACAAAATTTCTCCTGTAATCACTGATTAGAGTATGACGCCTTTATATCTTTCCCCTAAATTTATAACACTTAATATAATACATAACTTCCATTCGGATTCTGCTTAGTACATTCTAAAGTTACACACTATATTTTAAAAAGAGAAAAAATTATAAATATATAATATAATTAAAACAACAAATCCATGCCAATTCAAATCTATTGTTAATATTAGTATTCAATTAAATCTTAAACATTTTACACATTACTTTTCAAATAAGTATCATACTTCTATGGGAACACTTATAAACTTTCCATAGTTGCTTCCCCCCACTTCACTCATATTTTAAAACATTATACCATTAAAATGTTCCCATTCCTTCCTAGTTTAATTCTCTCATTTATTTCATTTCATTTAATTTGTTCACAAAAGTTTTGCTGAGTTACACTGAGTATTTTATCCCACTTTTTAATCATATGTTATTTCCAGTTTTCTAACATAATTTCTAATACAAATATAACAATACAATCTTATGTACCTTTGCCGAATCACTTTTTCAGTTAAATTTTTACCATTATCTCTAAATAAGTCGTGTTTCTTTACATCTTGCTCCACACCTTTGTAGCTTCTCTTCCCTTCCTTCCTCCCTTGCTTCTTCTCTCTGTCCTTTTTACCCCCCTTGTCTCTCCACCTCAATTTCCCTCTTCTGTGTTCCCTTTTTCTGTTGCTTTCTGACATTATATCCACTTTTCACCTTATTTTTCTCTTTTTTGGTTGTTTTTTTGGGTCTTAAAGTCTCCATTCTCTTTCCCCCTTTCCCCCTTCTTCCCTAGGTAAAGTTACTTGTTCATCAAAGATGGCTTCTTCTTTGTCCCAATCTTCTTGTTGCGTAGTCTTTTCTTGCAGTTTCTCATAGGTACAAATTGCCATTTCTAAGAATTGAAAAACAGCCAAGAGAGCCCTTCCCTTCTTGTTCCTCTTCTTTATATTTTTTAAATTCCATTTTCAGTTCATCCACAAGTGATGCCATTGTAAAAAAAATTTCAAACAACCACCCAAGTGTTTTTAGTCATTCAAATATAGTTTCCAGAAGTCCCAAAATCACCAAGCAATCCAAATATACACAGTTTCTTTTAACACTTGCTTCTTTTTTCACTTTCTCTTCCTGGGGTTGCTATTTAGTTACAAAATTCCAGTTAAGATGTATCTTTTAGAAGTCTTGTTAAAATTTAATCAGATTATTTTAAATTACAGGCAGTCTCCTCTTTCCAAATCCTACTCTTATCTTTTCCTCTCCCTTCCCACTTACAGCAAAAATAAATAAATATTTTTTTTAATGTTCAGAAATCCTTATTGTCCCCTTGACATTTAATTATCCAGTTTAATTACCTCTTGATGCCAAAGCGGGTTTTTCCGATTTCTCATTCATCTCTATTCGCTGTCAACGTAAGGAAGGAGAGTGAAAGAAAAAAAACTTTCCCCTTTCACTTTCATTCGCTGCTTCCGAATCTTCTTTGGGAGCGATGTATCTTTTTAAAATTTAAATTCCAGGATACCTTGATTGTTGCTTCTTATCCCGGTCAGCCAAAACTTTCACTTCTTAACTTCCTCCTGCACTTTCTTTTCCGGATGAGTGCTTTTTTGAGGCGGCCATTTCTGACCGCCGCTCATTCGCCTTTGGGAAAGGGAGTTTAGCCAGCTGGGGAGGAAAGCTGCGGCTTTCCTTGACCCTGCTGGGATCTCCCCCCTCTTTGCCACCTCTACAGGGTGGCTTAGCCCCGAAGCCAGACTGGCTCGGGACGCTCCAGCAGCGAGCCCAGGCAGAAACCGCGCATGATCGTGGATTCCTGCCTGCCGCTGAAGCCCTGCAAACCGGAAGTTTGTGACCACCGGTTTTTTGAAGTGGCTGAAATGCCAAGCAGACTTCAAAAAAGCCATCCCAAAGCTATAGTTCTTTCCCACACTTCATTCTTGTGAGCTGTGTTAGCACACTGAAAAAGTTCTGTAAATAGTTGTAGGAAACAAAGCTATATAGTCGTTCCATTCCTTTTGGCAGGATCTGGTTTTTATTTATTTACATTCCACCTTAATTTATTTTTTAATAAGCAACTCAAAGGAGGCAAACATGTCTAATATTGCTTCTTCCTCTTCTTTTCCTCACAACAAAAACCCTGTGAGGTGAACTGAAAGAGAGTAACTGGCTCTCCGATGGCTTTCAGGCCAAGACCCAACAGTGCTTTTTCAAGAGGAAACTGGGCTTTCTATTTTTTTTTCTTTGATGATGTTTCGCTTCTCATCCAAGAAGGTTCTTCAGCTCTGACTTGATGATGCGGAATGGAAGGATGGTGGGGAATGGAATCCAGTCAGAGCTGAAGAAGCTTCTTGGATGAGAAGTGAAACTTCTTCAAAGAAACCCAGAAAGTCCAATTGCCTCTTGAAAAAGCACCTTTGGGACAGAGGTGGCATTCAGCAGGTTCTGTCCAGTTCTGGAGAACCGGTAGTGGAAATTTTGAGTAGTTCGGACAACCGGCAAATCCCATCTCTGACTGGAGATTTTACAGTATCCTTCCCCTGCCATGCCCACCAAGCCACACCCACAGAACCAGTAGTTAAAAAAATTGAATCCCACCACCGCTTTGGGACAATCATGATCTGGATGATTGAGAATTCCCATAGACTTTCAGGCCAAGATAGGATTAGAATTCATAATCTCCTGGTTTCCGGCCTGTTGCCTTAACCACTAGACCACATGGATAATTTGGGATTATACCTTTTGTTCTTTTCTTAAACATGCTGTAATTGAAGTTGGATAAACTGTGGATGCCTAATCTGGATGCTATAATGACCTGAATGAGGATCACTAAGCAGGTCAAAATGCACAACCGAACTATGTTTCTTAAATTCAGGATTTAGTCATTTCTATTATCAAGGATCTTTGTTGCATGCTCTGTGATTGCTGTGGCTTTGGATGAAGAAATCGTCAAACTATCTAAGCGAAGGAGAAAGAAATACAGTAGTACTTCATTTCAATTAAGCAAGTGTGCATATTCCATTGTGCAGCTTGTCTTTTCAGTGATTTTTGCAACATCATTCCTTTTCTAGTTAGGAGAGAAAATCCTGGATTTACGGAGCACATTGAAGCACTAACATCTCAGTAATAAATATCTAGAAATAGGATTTCCCACTTTAACAAGGATATATTGAGAGCCGAATGTGTTTGTTTTAAAACAAAATAAAATTAAGGAAAGCTGAAATTCTCAGAGTCCTAGATTTTGAATCCCAGTGTGAAAACCTTACATTTTCTTCCACAATACCATGAAATACAACAGAACATTAATCATCACTGATTTTTCTAGGGCCAAAGATGGAATACTGTCATTGCAAAGTTTTCTGTGCAGTTTGTATTTCTGAAATTACTACAATGGTAGGTTCTTTTTTAGCCTTGGGAAGGAGAACAGAAATATGTAGGTTAAAAACATTACCTTTCAGAAACATTTCTCATTCAGTTTAAAACTATGACTATCTTTTATGTTACATTTTGATGGCAAAATTGCAGAATGAATCCATCAGTCTCTCCAATGGCTTGTGCATTCTGGAAACCAGAACTATTCTGTGTTAGTTAGATCCTAACTTCTACACAGTGTCTGTCTCAATAAATGAGATAAATGAAGTTCTATGTGTCAAGAAGATTCCACACCAATTCTAAATAACCTGCTTCTCAGGGGCTTTGATTAAAGGGTTCTGCTTTTATTTTATTTTTTCATTAAGAGTTTCCTAAACATTGTTCTAACTTCTTGTTTTGCAGATTATTCAAGACAGAATATTTAAGCACATATCCCGTAATAGTTTAATATGGAACAAACACCCCGGAGGATTGTTCGTACTGCCACAGTATTCATCATATCTGGGAGATTTCCCTTACTATTATGCTAACCTAGGTAAGTAGGTCTTTCTTGAGGAACACACTGGTTGGGAAGAGGAATCTTGTTCTGGGTAATGTACAACTAACAGTGTGAGGCAAGTGTAATCTAAGCTGTGTAATAAGGTGTATGAGAACCTAAGCTCTCAATCAAAACTTCTTTACATTTCTAGGAACAAATAGGGATTTGAAAAAAAAATAGATTAGCTATACCAAGTTACATAAGTCTGCAACCAAAGATAGGGTCACTTCTCTGTAATAGTCCAGACAAGAAGCACAAAGCAAGCACTAACCCCAATTATTGTAAGGTTGTAGTGGGGGTCTCCACCCTTGGCATGTTTAAGACTTGTGGACTTCAACTCCCAGAATTCCTCAGCCAGCCATGGGGGCTGGGGAATCATAGGAGTTGAAGTCCATAAATTATAGTCATAGAATTTTGCAAATCTGAAAGTATCTTTCCCCACCCTTGCTTTTACTGTCCCCAAAACTAAGGCTGGTCCTTTCTGATATGTTTTCTCTATCCCTACCTCTCCTTCAGAGACAGGTTTCTTTCACCAGACTGTTGTCTAGTCTGTGGCTCTTTCTCTTGTCTCCCAATATCATTCTTACATAAGCAGTACAGTGGCCATCATTATTTGTCAATAGAATAAGGAAAAGTGGAAGGGCAGAGAATAGAGTCAAATGTAGAAACTATCCAAATTGAGCAAATAGCTTTGAAAATAAATACAAGAACCCAGATGTACCTGTCTAGGCCAGGGGTCTGCAACCTTAAACGCTCAAAGAGCCATTTGGACTCATTTCCCACAGAAAAGAAAACTCAGGGAGCCAATAATTTAACAACCAGTATGACTGGGTGGGCGTGGCCAACTTGACATCACTCACTCCCACCCATTCACCTCCTGCTCTGGAATATGGAGCGAGTCTCCATTCCCCACCATCACCCTTACCTTCTCAGGCTAGGGAAGGAGAGACTGAGAGGGGAGAGGAGGGGCCAGCTAGGGAGCCACAGCAGAGGTTCAAAAGAGCCGCATGGGGCTCCAGAGCTGCAGGTTGCAGACCCCTGGTCTAGGCTTTCTCTGGCACTGTCCTTTGGTTCCAGCTCTGCCAGAGCTTTTGGACACTGACCTGAATCACAGTACTAGTAAGGAAACCACCATAGACGTTCTTCTCTTAAGGCTACCAGTCAGCCAGACTAGTGCCAAAAATCTTAAATCTGACTCCCTCTGAATCCCATCACTTTCAAAGGAAAATGTTGATGGTATTAGAGTAGCAAAGTACTTAAGAGCTACCATTCCCAACATCCACTGTAATAGTAAATGGAAGGTAGATGGCCTATAAATTTTGTAAGTAAATAAATATTCATTTATTTATAAAATTTATAGGTCACCCATCTTATCTAAAGATAAATCTGGATGAAAGATATAAGGAGGTTTTTTTTTCTGCTTAATTATTGTTTTTTCTGATTATTTTTTTCCCCTTTAAGGAAGAAATGCTTTAAATTCTGGATCATTTTTCTTTGGATGCATATATTAACATTAAAAATTGGGTTATTTTTTCCTAAATACCTAAATATTCCTTTAAAATACTGCTTTATCTTCTTGAGCTATCTTGCTTTTATTTTTATATTTAAGTTTTTAAATAGCTAAGATATTGTTGGTTCTATGCTACACAGAGTCACATTCAATGACATGGGTGGCCATATAAATTTATTTAATAAAAATGTTTTTTTTTAATGGGATACTGAGAGATTTACCTTTATTTACCTAGAATATAGTAAAAGGGGTAGCTGGTTTTTGATTGGTTGGTTGTCTTCTTTTCAGGGAAGTTCATTTTTGTGGAATCAGCTAGCATTTGTCTGTGATTAATGAACTTGTGTGTTGAGAGTTAAAGTCAACCAATATATTTTAGAATTCTTTAAATGATTGGGTGGTTCATTTCCTCTCATTTTCTTTTCAGGAGTCAAGGCCCCATCCAAATTCACCGCCGTCATCCATGCAGTTACTCCTCTGGTGTCCCAATCTCAACCTGTGCTGAAACTCCTAGTTGCAGTAGCCAAATCCCAGCACTGTGCTCAGGTGAATAATATGATCAACCTTCCAGTCATTGGCTAAAAATCCATATTTGGTTGCTCTAAATTTGTCTGGCATCTCCCAATTTATCTTCACCCACACTGGCAAAGCTAATTATACAACAAATGTGTTAAAGCCCATAAAGATGGCGGAACTTGCAAAGACGGCTAAGTTAACTTCTCTAAATAGAGAAAAAAAAACAGTATCTTTATATGAGATTGACTGGAAACCACTTATAGACTTTTTGCATCATTTCTTTTTATTCTTTCTTTCTGCACTTTTCCTTTTTCCTTCCTTTTTCTTTTCTCTCTTTTCTACTTTTACTTTTTATTAGTTTCTGTTAGATTTTATGTTCTTCACTAAAACATTTAGTGAAGATTTATTTTAAAAATGAATAAATGCATTAAAGGAGCAATGAATGGCCCATGTTCTGCATGGCATGTGAAGCCTCCCAGTGCCCATTTCATGGTTCTCATGAGGAAAAACCAAAATGTTCAATCAGGTTTTTGCATTGTGGATTCCTTTGATTAAGGGCTCCATGTTCCCTGTGAGGTGAGTTTCAAAAGGTAAAAAATAAATGCCTCAAATTTCTTAAAATTTGAAAAACCACCACTCCCTAAAGAAGTACCACCAACATTTTGGTCTCATTCATTTTAAGGGTGCAATTACTTCATCAATGCCCTTCAGAAGCCCACAACTCTCAAGTGTGATCCTTACACCCTGGACGTAGCCAAAGGAGACATTGTAAATCTGAATTACATAGAGGCATATGCCTTACACTGAGTTGAACTTTTAGTATCATCTATTACTGAATACAAGATTTTATGCTATTTTCCTCTTGCCCCTCTACCCTCACTAGAAGACACTAGTACAAAATTCATCAAAATGAAAAATGTTTATCCAGGATCTCCTTTTTTTGTTTATGTAGGGCAAGGGTCTTCAAACTTGGCAAGTTTAAGATTTGTGGACTTCAACTCCCAGAATTCCTGAGCTAACATGACTGGAGGAGGAATTCTGGGAGTTGAACTCCACAAGTCTTAAAGCTGTCAAGTTTGAAGACCCCTGATGTAAGATCTCCTGCTTCAGCAGGGGTTGGACTAGAAGACCTACAAGATCCCTTCCAGCTCCATTATATTCTAGGAGTACTCCTTGAAAAAAATGGAATTAAAAGCTTGTTTGCAACAGGACTAAACTAAACTATTCTAGATGGATAAACTTGGTCACTTTTCCTGTTAGAGTGGGTTTATTGTCAGGCTATATGATACGGGAGAAATGAAGTTTGGCAATCTGTTTAAATTACACCAATTAACAAAATTTGCATAATTGCTCTGAGACTAATTCTGCCTCTTAACATTTCCGCACAGTATAGAGTTTTTATTGGTCTTTGAAAGGTCTAAGAATCTGTGGGAAACACTGAATTTTTCAATATAATCCAGCACGTTTTTCCGTTCCTCCTCCTCCATGTTGAGATTTTAGTCCGGAGGACTAGTAACTTGCAGAGATTGCCAGGAAGCCAAGTTCAATTCCTATAAGACATTCTGCATTTGTTCCTGGAGAATTGGGGCAAATAGGCCACCCTGATCTTTCCAAAAGTTGAATTCTGCATTTGGTATCACAACAAGATCATGTGAAGTGTTAATATCACTTTATAATGCCTTCTTAAGGCCGCACTTGGAATACTGCATTCACTTTTGGTTGCCACGATGTAAAAAAGGTGTTGAGACTATAGAAAGAGTGCAGAGAACCAAGACGATTAGAGGACTGGAGGCTAAAACATATGAAGAACGGTTGCAGGAACTGGGTATGTCTAGTCTAATGATAAGGACTAGGGGAGACATGATAGCAGTGTTCCAATATCTCAGGGGCTGCCACAAAGAAGAGGGAGTCAAGCTATTCTCCAAAACACCTGAAGGAAGGACAAGAAGCAATGGATGGAAACTAATCAAGGAGAAAAGCACCTTAGAACTAAGGAGAAATTTCCTAACAGTTAGAACAATTAATCAGTGAAACAACTTGCTTCTAGAAGTTGTGAATGCTCCAACACTGGACGTTTTTAACCAGATGTTGAGTAACCATTTGTCTGAAGTGGTGTAGGGTTTCCTGCCTAAGCAGGGGGTTGGACTAGAAGACCTCCAAGGTCCCTTCCAACTGTGTTATTCTATTCTATTCTAAGTTGCAAAAAAAAAGAATTTTAAACTTTCTTTTCAATAATCACAACACCGAATGGACTGGTTAAATCAAGAATATGAAGACACAAGCTCCCATAACAACATGAACACCACTAATGAAGTGTTAGAGCACCCGGTTTTGATATCAAGCTATGAACACTTTGTCCTTTGTCTTTTGTCCTAAGATGCTTTCAGATGTCACATAAATTGTATTTTTAATACAGCCAGTCCAACTGGGATGATTTTCTTGTTACTCAACAGAAGTAAAAAAGCAACAACAACAAAATTTAATTAGCCCCTCTTCTCTCGCCAGGAATTAAATCTCATTGGGGGACTTTTTCCTGTGTTCATTTGTTTTGGGGTGTGAAATTCTAGACTGAAGTGCAGGGCTGAGATAACCTTTGAGCCTCTCTCGGTTGTGTCTTCTGCAAGGATTTTCATAATGGGAAAACCTTCTTGTTTTTCAGATCATTGTCTTATGGAATTGTGATAAGCCCCTTCCTGCCAAGCATCGCTGGCCTGCCACTGCTGTGCCTGTCATTGTTATCGAAGGAGAAAGCAAGGTATATTGTCATGGCTGTGGTTACTGTTGTTTGCTTTTTTATTACAGCTACATGCCAAAATTCCTCCAGGCACCTAAAGTCGCCTGTCTGGTTCTTCTTACCTTCTTAATGCATCCTTCCTGTAGACGGAGGCAGGATAGATTGCATAGATAATTCTGGGCTCCCAATTTACTTATTTTTTTTATTGGGACTGGCTTCCAAGTCAACTCTCTCTTATATATGTTCAAGGTCAGTGGGCTTTGGAAGTATATAAGAGATTTACAAATACAGCTGGTTCTCAACTTGCAACCAATGGTTGTAAAATCAGGCACAATTCATTTTTGATTTTACAACCATTTTGAAGTGAATCACTGCAGTTCTTAAGTGAGTCCCACAGCTGTTAGCTGAATCTGGCTTGCCCGTAACCTCTGCTTGTCAGAAGCCTGCTGGGAATGTCACAGATGACAATCACGCGACCCTGAGAAACTACAACTGTGATTAAATACATGCCTGAATTTTGATCACGTGGCCATGGGCATGCACAATGGTCATAAATATGAAATCTAGCAATAAATCACTTTTTTTCAGTGCCGTTGTAACTTTGATTGTTAAATGAATGGTTGTAAGTTGAGGACAACCTGTGTACTAGAGCAAGGGTGTCAAATCTGTGTGCTGAGCCCCCTTTTGTATTCACTCTACATCTACGACTGCACTCCCTCTTGTCCCACTAACTATAATAAAATTTGCAGACAACACCACGTTGGTGGGACTCATATCAGGAGGAGACAAGACGGCCTCTAGGTCAGAGGTTCTTAGACTATTCTTGTGGTGCAAGAGTCATAACCTCACCCTGAACATCAAAAAGATCAAAGAAATGATTATAGACTTCAGAAGATGCAAAGCAGAGCCTCTCCCACTATATATCAATGGAGACTGTGTGGAAAGAGTTCATAGTTTTAAATTTCTAGGAACTCATATTTCCGGCAACCTTACTTGGTTGTTCCACACCATGGCCACTGCAAAGAAGCCCCAACAGTGCCTGCACTTTCTGAGGTTGCTGAAAAAGAGTGGTCTGGGTGAGAAGTTGCTGGTTACTTTTTACCGTTCTACCATCGAGAGCATTTTGGCATACTGTGTAACGGTGTGGTATGCTGGATGCTTTGCAGTGGATAAGAAGATGCTCCAGAGAGTTATAAACACAGCACAAAAAATCATCGGTTGCTCTCTTTCTTCTTTGGAAGAGATTGCAAAGACCAGACTCCACTGTAGAACACTAAAAATCTCCATGGACCGTTCTCATCCTGGACATTCATATTTCAAACTGTTACCATCAGGGAGGCGTTATAGGTGTCTTAAAATGAGGACTAATAGATTGAGAAACAGTTTCTTTTCCAAGGCAGTAATTGTCTTCAGTCAAACAGTGCATTTGTGATTTATTATTATTATTATTATTATTATTATTATTTAAATACTCTGTAGTATGATTGTGATGTGGTGTTTGGGGCACTGTGCTGGAGTAGCTTTCAAATTTCATTGTATTTGTGGAATGCAATGACAATAAAGGTATAAAGGTAGAATCAATTTCATTGAGGGCCACATCAGGGCTGTGGTTGATCTCAGGGGAGCATGACTGACTGGGTAGTTGTGGCCAACTGGATGGGCATTGCCAGCTTTACACCACTCACTGGCCATGGCCAGCTTCGCGCTACTCCCCAAACTGCTGACATGTTTCCTCTTTGCATTGGGTAGACCAGGCAGAAGCCACTCTGGCCGGATGTTTCCTCTTCACATTGGTTAGACCAGGCCAAAGCGATGCGGGCCAGTCCCTTAACATTTTCCAGGATGGCCCCATTGGCCAGATCTGACTACATCGCAGGCCGAATTTGGCCTGCGGGCCTGGTGTCTGACACCCCTGTACTAGAGTATCAATTTATAGGAATTGATGTGGCATAGTAGTTTTGAAGTGAGAAGACAAAAATGGATTTAGGCAACAATGAAAAATCTCTTGCTGGCTATAATAAGTTATTGCTATAGAACTGGCTTGTATTTTATACCTGACTTTGCATTCAAGCAAGTTTATAATATAGTGATATTATTACTTTCCCCAGCTTCTGCCAACCTAGCAGTTCGAAAGCATGTAAAAATGCAAGTAGAAAAATAGGGACTACTTTGGTGGGAAGGTAACAGCATTCCGTATGCCTTTGGTGTTTAGTCATGCCGGCCACATGACCACGGAGACGTCTTCAGACAGCACTGGCTTTGTAACAGAGATGAGCATCGCCCCCTAGAGCCAGAAATGACTAGCACGTATGTGCTAGGGGAACCTTTATCTTTATAATTAGAGATAGGCTGGTACATCACAGTGAGTCAGTCTCCAAAATGTTAAAGTAGAGCTTCTAGCAGCCACATCCAGCAAGGATGGCAACGACATATGCTGGAAGTGCTAGTCCAGCTACATCTGAAAGTCCACCAGTGCCCCAATCCTCAAGTAGAATTTCAACATAGAGTGAGGTATGAATACCTGTCCTTCTTGCTGAAAATAGTAGCAGAGTATCAGGTCTATTATAACTTGAGGTTCTTGTATAACATACTTCAAGGAGGTTGCTGATTCTACAGTTTCATGCAATTTCACGGTTCTTTATTGAATAAGGTGTCCCAATTGGGCGGGTGGAAATGTATCTAAATTATTGAAGCTCCCAAGTATTTCTCATCCATCTAAAAAGAATGGAGGTAATATCTCCAATAATAATATTCATCCATCTAAAAAGAATGGAGGTAATATTCTCCAATTCACTAAATGGCTGCTAAGGTGGCAGATAAATCTGTTGACTCAGATCCCAGGGTAGTTTGAGATTCACTGCAGGGCTTGGAGACATGGAAGGCTTCTTCTGCCTTCTTTGGTGGACTTGATTACTTCCTTCTGTCTCTTTCCATTTTCGATGTGTTGTATTGGAAGGCCCAAGGAAAGAATAGATCTGACAAAGTTCAAAAACGCAGGTAAGCAATAGTCTTAAGAGCATTTTTGGGGACAACAAAGAAATCTGGAAGTTTCCTCAAGGTTCACATTTCTCCTTCTGCACAGCAAATGCCCAAATGGAAAAAAAAATGTTGAGAATGCCAAATTGACTGTTTTTACAATGTAAGCTAACTTGCTCAAGCACAACCATTTTGCCAAGTCTGGTTCCTTTCAGATATGCAGGATTATAGCCCCTTTTTGCTTTGCTGCTGAGAATTATCCAGGATTTTAATCAATCAAAAACCTCAGGGTGGCAAAAATTGTTATAAAAGATTTTATAAAAGATTAAATGTTTTCAGCCTTAGGACCATCCTTCCCCTCTCAGGAAGCTGTTTGTACTTGTTCGCCTCTTGGGTTCATGTCTGAATGGTTGAATCTCATTTATTAGAACTCTGTGGTAGATTCCTTGTCTTTCAATACTTCATTTTTATAAAAACAAGAGCAAACTAACCACAAAAATTGGTCTACCTAATATAAATGTTTCCAGTTGACAAAAGAGAATTTTTTTTTAAAAAAAAAATACAGATACTGCTGCAATTTTTCTTCTAGAAGTACAAAGATTTAATGAGGAAAAGTTAGTTGGCAAATCAGTGAAGAGGATTTGGGGGTGACAGAAAGCAGCAAATCTGAACAAAACAAAAATCCAAAATTGTCCCATCATTCTTCAGTGCTGATTAGATTAATCAGCTTTCACACTTCATCAAATGTTGTGCTGTAGTTCTCAGAAAAAAAATGTTCTCCCCAATAAATTTAGAAACGCACATTTTGGGATTCTGAGTTTGCACATCAGGGTGGAAATGAGATGAGCTACATCTAGAAATGGCATGCAGCAGAAATAGACTGAACTGTCTACCTGTAATAAATTAATGTATAGTCACTCGGAGAAGCCAGAATGTCTCAAGAGAACCCGACAATATTCTTATATCAACTACTGCTCACAAATTGATGTCGTAGTGGCTTCAAAAGATTAATGCAAAATCCTACATAGACGTTGTATTGTCTTAGGAACATTGTAACTTAAAATGTACACTCTTTTGTTCATCGTTTCTTGTTTTCATTGATAGTATATGGCTAGCTATAGATTTTGAAAACCAACCAGTGAAGTGTGTGTGTGTGTGTGTGTGTGTGTGTATGTATGTGTATGTGTATATGTGTATATATATATATACATACATATATGAATGCCATACATACATACATACATACATACATACATACATACATACATATATATTTGTTAAGTTTTCATGGGTACTTATATGTATGTTATTCAGCTTTGTTCAGGTATTTTCCCACGTCCTTATAGTTGTGCTTTTAAAGTTGTAGCAATGTTTGGGCAGAATCTCATCTGCCATCATCGGGCTTCTATATAGTGTTCGTCTGTGAGTCAGACTTTCACAGCCTTTTCTGTTTTAAATTTGGTGCTAGCCTACTGCTGTGCCAAAATGGTTTTTTTCTTCATCTTGATTGGTTGGGAGTCTTGGTCTGTGTTTATTGGTCTTGGAGTTTACTGTGTTCTGCTTGATTGGTGTTTCTAATATCTTCTCTGTGTTTTGTAGCTTTTTTTTTGTCTTGATTGGCTGGCAACATTGTGTTCCTGTATTGGAGGCTTTTAGTGCGACTTGGCTCCGAGTAAACGGATGCCTATCATTTATTAGGAAGATAGGTTTCATCTGGGTGCCCGGTTGGGGTGTGTTTGAGCTGGAGGTATCAGGGGGAGCCTGTTTGTGCCCAGATGTTTGCCTGGCTTGTGGTATGGAGATTTTTTTGTTTGAGAGTGCAGGCTTCCAGATAATTGACAGTCTAGTGGAGTCATCTCTTCTATTCATGCTTTCAGGTCTGTTTTCAATCTCTATGGCTTCTCTGATAATTCTGTAGCTGGGGTTTTCTATAGTGGCTAGGGTTTTGGTGCCATTGAAGTCGATGCTATGACCTGTGGCTTTCATGTGTTGGACTTGTGAGGAAGTGTGTTCCAACTTTTTTTACTGCATTTTTGTGTTCATCTAGGCGGGTACTTATTCTTGTATTGGTCTCCAGCTATGAATTTTAGCCCGAGGCATTGCGTTAGTCACTATCGTTTAACTTAGCCTACCTCATCAGATTTTGATGAAGATAAAGTAAGAAGGAATTCTAAATGCTACTTTAAGCTTTTGAGAAGCACATATACTCTAAATATAGCCATGACTTATTGCCTTTTAATTATATAAAAATGGTTGGTTGGTTTCCAAAAAATCAAACCAGAGCATTATGCATGACAACATTTGGGGTAAGGGAATACTGTGAACACATAAATCTAGAAGGGCACTCTTGCTGAAATTAATCAGGAGTAACATAATCACATTGTTAGGTCGTATGCAAAAGCTGCAAAGGAATTCGGTTCTTGTACATGAAGCTCTTTTCTTTCACAGCCATTCCCCCTTCCCCCCCCACCCTTTAATGCTGTGGTAGATTGTTAACTCTTTGGGCTCAGGTATGGAGGTCCTGTCTGCAGATGAGTCTCAAAATTATCTCGTTCACCTTGCAGGTGATGAGCAGTCGCTTCCTGCCCTATGAGAACATTGTCACAGATGCTGTTCTAAGCCTCGACGAAGATACGGTGCTTTCAACCACTGAGGTGAGATATTTTCCCCGTGGATTGTATTGGCTCTCCAAAGTCATACAAATATTTGATTTTCTTTCTTTCTCTTCTCTTCTCTTCTTTCTTTTTCTTTTCTTTTCTTTTCTTTTCTTTTCTTTTCTTTTCTTTTCTTT